ACTTTGAATGTGCAAATGGTTAATGTGACCTAACCTTACTTGTTATAAGTAAGTGTACTTTGAATCATCTAAATTTTACTTTTGTGATCTACTTATATCAATGCCATAAAACAAAATTAACTCATATCTAGCAAAATCAAAGCAATTTATTACCTTGGTCATGGATCAACACTTGTCCAAGCCAAGTAAACCAAATCAGTATTCTACAAAACTGAAATATTGTCTCATCAAAACTGGAAATTGTTCTAAAATCATGATAAACTAATCAAAATTTAAAACTATGAAGCTATCTCTGGCTACTCAAACACTTCTAGTGCACCTTTAAGCTCCATTTCCTTGCTAGCTTCACTTGTTTGCAGTTTCAGCGCAACATCACAATGTTAAGCACTGCAACTTGGTATCACATACCTAAGTGAAAGTTAAAATGTTTATGACATTAGGTAACTCTTAACTCATTACTTATCGTAGTGGGGACATCCTTGTTCAAGCACTGGATTATTCTTCTTTCAGATAATCCTCTACATGATTCTTGAGTAAATCAAGTAGTTTGACTACATAATCTTCATCATCTTGACAAAGTTTCTTGAGGTCAAAACCATCATGTAGAGAATGCAGAATGATATCAATAACCTGATCATCTGTGTGTGGTCTCCCTAACATACTCATGCGTTCAAATAGATGAACCATCATATCCACATGAATCTGTACTAACTGGCCTGGCAAGAGTTTTCTTGAAATTATCTCGCCATTGAGCTTGTAGATTTCAAACCTAATACTTCCAGTCCCGGAGTCGTCATTCTTAGGAACCATATTAATGATTTCCATGACGTTTCCATCCATTTCTCCATCAACATGGGAATTCAGAATTCCATAGCAAACATCACGTAAGCACTTGAATAAGAGATAAGGTTCATAGTCCATAAATCTTCTAGGCTAATCCTCTGGAATAGAAGACAACATCACATGCGCAACTCTCTCACAATCTGAAACATTTCTCAAATGCTTCTCAAGAGTCATGCCTGGACTAAATCTGCCCTCGATTGGTAAGTCTTAACGAAGTTCAAGATTTTCGTTCCTTAGAACACTTCTAAGTTCGCTTTCCCAATCGTTGAAGTTGAGAAAGTTAAGCCTTGTTTCCATTGTTGGAGGTAAAGAATTATTGTCATCATTGTTACGACTACCCATCTATGTCAAAATAAGGCAAAGTTTAATAATTATGTTTAATTAAATAATTAAAGTACCATAAACGCATTCATTAGGTAACTTTAAGACACTTTATTCAATAATTAATTGATCCCAATTAAATATAAGTGATTCCAAGACCCTTAATTCGTGAAATAATTGACCGGACTTTGGCCGTACCATCAATCGTTACATTTTCAAGGTGAGTAAGATCTTTACTGATTACAACTCTTGTAATTCTTTGTTGAATAATTAATCATCACATGTTTAATTATTTCCCTTTGCTTCTAGGTTCTAAACACTTTAGATAACCTTGTTGAGCACAACCAATTAAAATTGTAAACTTTGATTTACCCCAACTTCCCAAAGATATAATATGACACCCAACTTTGGCATGACCCATCATAAAAATCGAAGGTTTCATTGGGTTTTTAATTGGAAAAACAATCTCAATATTAATGGGACCTATATTTATTATGTTGTGATTATTTAGTGAACTCTAGCGCATCATCAATCAACATAAATAAAATCTAACATGCATAATCTACTAATGCAATAAAGCATGACATAGTATGGCCCCTTAGTCCTAAGAAAACTAGAAATGAAAATGCTCCCACTTGAATCATCATGGATCTCCATCCACCTTGCTCCTTTGGGCCTTCACTTCATGGGCTTCTTTGAACTATCACTATTTGAATAACTATTCTATTTACTTTAAAAAAAAGTTACAAAAATACTTAACGGTACGCAGACCGTATTTTGATTACAAAAATACTTCACGATGCGCTGATCATATTTTTAAGAATCTATGGGCCACACTAGTCTATATATAGCAACATAATATCATATATTATAAAAGTGCTATATAATAAATCACTCAACATGCTTGTCTAAAATACAACATCGAATGTTCATAATAAAGTCAACGCATTTCTTAAAATATCTTATATTTTAATCATAATTAGATAATATCATATATTATTTATGACCGTTTATAAAATACCATATATTTAATTTAGTCATGAGATAGAATCAAATCATATTTTAATCTAGAAAGATAAATCATATTTAATCTTCCATGATTATCCTAACAAATTTAGGAGATTCTATCCTAATTACTAGCCAATCAAATAATTTTAAAATCAATTATATCCTAATCTAATCATGGGATAATCACATTATTTAAATCAATTATTATCCTTTTGGAATATGCTCAGAATATCCTAATCAATCTTATCCAAAATGAACAACTTTAATTATGGATAATTACCAATTTAACAGCTTTAAATATCGATAATATAAAATATAACAACTTTTGAATATTTGATTTTATCCTAAAATAAAAGATTTTATCCAAATAAAACCAATTTTATCTATTTAAAATAATAGATCATAATTTCAAAATATTTTATCTTATCCAAAATAAATCATATTTTTCTTGAAATATTTTTAAAATAAAATAATAATAAATTTTTTTGATAAAAGCGCCAGCCACCATCGCCGACCACCGTGGTTGGCTAGCTGAAGCTAGCCACGGTGGCTGAATGCCTTGACGGCAACCATTTCCATAAGGCAGCAGCGCGGCAGCAGCTCTGGCAGCCGTGGCAGCAGCCATGCAATGCTTGCACGCTGCTGCCAACAACCACCATGGACCGCCAGTCCTCCCTCCCTCCCTCTCAAACTGCCACCTGGTCGGCAACCGTCGTGGCTGCGCTACCCAGCCGCGGCTGCCGACCTTAAAATTGTTTTTTTTTTTTGCTTTTCAATTTAATTAAAATAACATTTATCAAAATTAAATCAAATCAATCCAAAATTTAAAATTAAATCATCATTCAATTTTAAAATTAGGGTTCATCATAAAATTAATCCCAATTTAATTCTAACTCTTAAAATTAAATTGATGATCATACACAAAACATTTTTATGTATAAATCAATCCGATTAAAATTATGAAACATAAAACAAATCGAATTTAATCAAAATCAAGCACAAAAATCATATTTTAGGGCTAGTATTTTCGAAAAATTCGAAAAATTAGGGTTAGGGGGTTCGAAAATTTTGAACATATTAGGGCTAAAATTCGGTCCTCTTCATGGCTATTAGAGCATAATTAAATGACATTTAATCGATTCCAAAAGTTTAATCACATTAAAATAATTATTGAACCATAACAAAATTAATTTCTCTTTCTTAGTTGATTATAAAATGAACATGGACATCAAATAATCGTATTATTATGATCTAGCGCATGCAAGAGGCTAACTGATACCACTGTAAGAGTTTATAGGTACTACGTAGCGGAAATAATATGAATTATATTCATAAAGCACCTAAACCAAGAATCGCATGCATAACACACAAGACACATAATCATACCTTTGATGCGTGAATTCCACAAAACTATTCGACAGGCAAATTAGGGAGAGATTAGAGCCCCAAGCGTTGCTCCTTTACTTAGTCCACGAGATTCGAATGAGCCGTCCACCAATACTAGATTGGTCGAGTGATTGAGGAAAACCACGATCACCACCTTACGGACAACCGACCACCGAACGAACCACCACGAGACACCACCGGCGCCGAGGAGGAGGAGAGAGCCGTGTGAGAGAGAGGACTTTGAGAGGGGTTGGGTTTCATGTTTGCTAATTCTGGTTTGATCAATAGATCAGTAAAATTGCATATATGCAAACGTAGGCACCTAGTCTATTTATAATCTCATTATAATTAGACTAGGGCACAAAGCCCAAAACCCCTTCTAGTCCTCCATTTGGCCGGCCACCTAGAGTGATGAGGCCCATGATGGGCCTCGTCATCTAATGCTCAATCTAACCCCTTTGTGTGACCTTATAGGATCCGTCCAATTGGGCTTTGAGCTATTTTACTAGTCCAAAGATCGTGAGTACCTCTAGCTATGGCAAAACAACGACCCAAATGTACGAACTTAATTATCTCCATTATTTGATCCAATTATATATCTAGTAATTGCACACGACGAAGACATAAATCTTTTACCTTAAGTTCTAGCTCTTCAAGCGAAGAAGAATTTCAAGAAGAAGAACAAGGAAGCATGGGGGGGTACCAATGGTTTCTTAGAAGGAGTTAGGAACTCCCAGTACCTATAGATTTGAGAGAGGTATTGCTTCACCAACAACACCGGCTAATGACTTTGAGATAAGGCCGGCAATGATAACAATGATTAAAATAAGGCAATTTAGTGGTGCTAAGCACGAGAGCCCACTAAATCATCTCAAAGAGTTTGTGAAGTATTGCAACACAATCAAAGTCAATAGAGTTTCTCAAAAATTCACAAGGCTCAAGCTATTCCCATTCTCTCTAATCGGAAGAGATTTGGAGTGGTTAGATAAGGAAGTGAAGCCTAATTCCTTAAGAACTTGGGATGAGGTCACCAAAGAGTTAAATTTTCGCTTTTACACTCAAAAGAAGACCGTCGAGGCAAGAACTCTAATCCAAAGTTTCAAGTAAAAGCCTAGAGAGAGTTTGTATGAGGCTTGGGAAAGACAAGAAATATCAAAGAGAGTGTCCTCACCATGGAATCCTGACCTACCAAATCATACAAATCTTTTATGGAGGATTGAGTCCCCAAGGAAAGTCATGTCTTGATGCCGGAGCCGGAGGCCCGATTATGAACAAGACCTAGGAAGAAGTTGTGATATCATAGAGGATGTAGTTTGTCACTACATGGATTGTAAATAGGGAGAGAGAGAGTCTACAAGCAAAAGTATCTCAACGGTCTACTCGGTTTACCATCTCAATGCAACAATAACTTGTCCTCCCAAATCTCAAATTTGGGGAAGGAGATGACACTAATCAAGGCTAAGCTAAAGAGTGCCTCTTCAAATGCAACAAGTCTTCCTTCCCACATTAAGGGGAGAGTTACATCTTCTAACTCTACTCCTCCTTCTACTTCAAGTAATATGCCAAGTGGATGTGTATTTTGTGATGTTTGTGGGTCATATGACCATGATACTTCTAGTTGTCCACATGCATTTGAGAATTGTGATGATGTTGAAAACAATGATTGTGAACAAGTGAATTTTGTTTCTAACAATAACAATGGACAAAGATTTGAAAGTCCAAGGAATTTTGGGACTAGGAATGCTCACCAACAAGGGAGTTTTGATAACTACAACAGTGGTGGTTATTGGAACCAAGGAAATCAAGGTTTCGGAGGTAACTATAACAATCAAGGTTATAGTAATCAAAACCAAGGCCAAGGGTATGGAAATCAAGGCCAATCTCAAGGCTTTGGTGGCCAACACCAAAATTATGGCAACAATCAAGGCCGAGGTAATTCGAACAATCAAAATAGGGGCAATTTTCAAAACAACAATCAAAGGGGACCCCCACCTGGATTTTCTCCAAGACCTCAAGGCAATGGTGATAATTCCTATGCTCAACCCCCATATTCTAGAACTAACTTGGAGGAGATCATTGAAACCCAAACAAATATATTAAGCACTTACATGGCGGTGAGTGACAAGAAGTTTAATGAGATGATGACACACAACTAAATGCTTGAGACCCAAATCACTCAACTAGCTAATACCTTGAAAGATTGTACTAGCCCTTCTTCATTACCTTCTCAAGGAGTTTATCTTAAGAAACCCGTTTATTCTATTATCACAAGGAGTGGAAAAATGCTTGAAGAGAGAGTTTCTAGGATGAGTGAGGAAGATGAGAAGAGGAGTGACTCATGTGAGAAAAATGAGAACAATGTGTCAAAGAGTGTGAGCAAAGAGGAAGTTCAATAGAAAAAGAAGATTGATGAGTCTAGAAAGATGAGTGAGAGTTCTAATGAGGAGACAAAGGAGAAAGAGAGGAAGCAACATGAGGTTTTCAGACCGAAACTTCCATACCCCCAAAAGTTCAATAGGCACAAATTAGATGAACAATTTGGGAAATTTATCGAGATGCTTAGGAAAATTTATCTTTCTATTCCTTTCACCGATGTTTAGGGGCAAATGCCAAATTATTCTAAATTTCTTAAGGAAATCTTGAGCAGTAAGAGAGATTGTAATTTGGTTGAATCGGTGAGTTCGGGGGAATGTTGTAGTACTTTAGGGAATATTTCAAGCATTACCCCTAGCTTGAACCCCACTGTGATCATACACTAAAGTACGGTGGCGTCCAAAGGGAAGGAAGCTAGAGCAAAAGAGTCGCCAACAAGTTTTAAGAACTTGTAAACCGTTCACAAGGTGAAGGTTACACCCCTTAACGATCCAGGAGATCATCAAATCCAATAGGTCTTGAACCATGACTGGTAGTTCGGGGATGAAGGTACAAATCCAACCTAAAAGAGATTGAACCTCCCCTAATAATAGGCCTCTACTTTATTCTGATCGTATTCATGTGCGCTTTCTGACTAACATGCAATCAATAGGATTACCCTAAACCTGTTTATCTATGTTGGTTGAATATTAATGCACAAATAAAACTATTATTGGCGATCACTTGAATTATAATCAAATTAACCATAAACAAGATTATTAATTATCTTATTAAGCGTGATTACAAGTACCAATTCCCTTTAAACATGCATAAAAGGTGTGATCAAGCAATAACAATAAATATATATCAAGCAACATAATAATAATCATAAATTATAACAATAATAATAATTATAATCATAATCATGATCATAATAATCACAATCATAATAATAATAATAATCATAAAATTATAATCATAAATCATGTTAAAGCATAATAATAGCAAGATCATAGGCATGATACTAACAAGATTAATAACAACCCCTAGCATGTCACTAAACAATAAAAATCAAAGCTTTAACCGTAACATGATACTAACATGAATATTAGGAAAGAATATAAAAGGCATCATACTTTTAATCATACTTGATATTAAAGTTACCCTAGACATGATACTAGGAAGATCAAAACGCCCTAACATAACATTAGGAATTATAATAACAACCTAGACATGATTTCTACATCATAATAACAATAAAAACCTTTAAAGGACTTACTTGGATACCTCGTACCTCTTTCTAATAATAAAATACACACGTTAGTAACTTCAAGGAAAATAATAAACAAAACAATTAAATTAAATAATTGAAAGAGAGATTTGGGATAAACCCTCAGAAATATTAAAACCTTTCACGTCTAGGGCGAAGGCAACTTCGAACATGGCTAGGTGTGTCTAGTACTAATGTATGATGAATTGTGTTTGTAAAAGGGTTGGTTTATAATGAGAGAGAGAATCAAGAAATTCTCGATGAGAGTTGGTGAATAGAGAGAATTGGTGAATGAAAACAGAGTTTTTAGAAGGCTATTTATAGAGAAAATCAGCCAAAAAGATAAAAAATCGAAACAGAATTCTGACGCGCAAAAACGAGGTTAGCGCCAGACGCTGACATTAGCGCCAGGCGCTAACGCTAGCGCCAGGTGCCAAACTTAGCGCCAGGAGCTAATGCTGGCGTTTGGCGCTAACTTAATTATTGACGCGTTTTCTTAAAATCAGATAGAAATTGACCGTAAAAGAGGATAAAATCGTATTTTCCTCAAAAACATTCTTTTATTCTGATTAAAACTCTAAAAAGTCAACAAAAGTCAATTTATCAATGCTAATTGAATTAGGAATGAAAAGAACCTTCTAGAAGAATCTAAAAGACTAAAACCATTCCTAATTGCATTAGGAATGATAAATCCATATTAGGCCCTCCCCTAGATCATTGGGCCGTATATAAGGCTCAATCCGGGCCCAGTTTAGTAATTTGACCATAACTTCCTCAATATTTATCGGAATTGGGCTTATAATATATCGTTGGAAAGCTCTTTTCAAGCCCTATCCAACTACACTACTATTGGACCCATATCATGGACCAACCAAATTGGATTGGCTGTTTTCTTAAAATAGGTTTTCAAAAACAGAGAGAAAAGAAGAGAAATGAAAACTATCCGCAACACTAGACCTTCCACACTTTCACTTCATTCGATTATGATTCAACGTGAAAGGTACTCATCACTGGGTTTGGTTTTGGGGAGACACAAATGGGTGTCTACAAGTACCCTTATCCATAGTTACTTACCCCAAAAGTTGAAAGACCCCGGGAATTTCTCCATTCCTTGCAACATTAATGGTAAATTGTTCCAAAATGCCCTTTGTGATCTTGGTGCTAGTGTTAGCATCATGCCTTATTCCGTCTTCAAGAAACTTAAGTTAGGTGAGCTCCTTCCAACCAACATGACCTTTCAATTGGCCAACCATTCTATTAAGTTCCCAAAGGGTAGAATTGAGGATGTGCCCCTCAAGATAGGAGAGTTCACTATCCCCGTTGACTTCATTGTGCTAGAAATTGCGAAAGATGACAACATTCCTATCATTCTAGGGAGGCCATACTTAGCAACTTTGGGTGCTTTGATAGATGTGAAAGGTGGCATGATTACTTTGTGTGTTGGTAATGATAAGGCAAGTTTTAAGCTCAAGTCGATGCATGAGTCTTTATCCTATGTGAAAGAAATTATGTGCATAAATTCATTGCCTTCGAATGTTAATGATTCCATGTTTTTGTCTTCTACTAACGATATGCTTGTAGCTTGTGATGATGTTCCTAAAAGTATTGAAATCAAGGTTGTTAGTGAAGAAGACAAGGATCCCTCGAAGCTTGAGGATGATTTTGAAATGCCTTCTTGGTTTGAGCTTTCTTTGAAGGATGACAAGAATAGTTTTTCAAGTGGTGGATATGAGGATCTCAAAGCTCCAAGGAAGAAGAAATCAAGGAAGAAAAAGAGAGTTTCTAAGAATATAAAAGGAAGTTGAAGCCTAAAAATTTTGATCCGGTTTCTATGATTCAAGATGACATGGCTCATGATGAGATTTTTCCCAAACTTTGCAATGATTTAACTAGGGGTGAACATGGTCTGGTTTGGTGTGGTTTGAGTCTAAACCAAACCAAACCGCAAAATACGGTTTGGTCAATTTTCCAAAACAAACCAAACCATATTAGTATTGAAACCAAACCAAACCAAACCAAACAGTGATAACGCGGTTTGGTGCGGTTTGGTTTGTGGTTTATAGTGAGATGACATTTTTTCCTAAAAATTGTCAAATATTTATAAATTTATAATAAAGTTCAAATAATAGCCCAATGGGATTAAATTATACTACAAAGTTTTAATAAAAATAACAACCAACTAATCAAGTGCTAAGTGCTAACACAATAACACATAATAAAAATAATACATAATATGTAATAACTATTTGAGAATGAGTATAGAGTATAGTAGTATACTAACCGTATAGTCTCCTAATGATTTTTCATTTTTTTTTATAATATATAATAACTATTTTAATTTATTTAAAAATTATATAAATATTAAAATGCGGTTTACTGGTTTACGGTTTAGTTTGGTTTATAATTTTTGAAAAACCAAACCAAACTGCAACCCATATTTCCCAAAAAATCGAAACCAAACCGTAAACCAAACCAAACCACTAAAATGCGGTTTAGTCTGGTTTGGTTACGGTTTAGACCAAAATGTGTACAACCCTAGATTTAACCCTCTCCACCACTTTGGAAAAGGTTCTTTGACCCTCCATGATTTGGAGGAAGGGTCAAGCTAAGGACCTTAAGCAAGCACTTCTCGGGAGGCAACCCGGTTTTCTAACCCCTTTCTTTTGATTTCTATTTTTCTTAATTTTCTTTCTTCTGTTTTTCTTTTCTTTCACTTGTTTTCTATTTGGATTGATAGGTTAAATTCATGGGAATTCAATTATTTCAAGCGAGCATGAGCAATGGAAAGGTGTTTCGTGAATTTATGAGAATATGTTCGATTTTATCGAATTTTGAGGTAAAAGGGTAAAGTAATGTAGTGAGGTAAGTAAGGGAAAGTCGTGCTAAAAATTTAAAGTAAATTTGAACTTGGTGGGTTCATTGTGGTGCTCTCATTATTTTAGAATGTTGAACCCACTGACAACATGTTTTGAAACTCCCATCTTTAGTGGGTTTAATAATTCCAGGGTGATATTGGATAATAAGCCCACATTAGAATGCACCAAGAAAATTTCAAGAAGGGAGCCAAGCAGGCGCAGGCGCGCTAGGCAAGGGCGCGGCCGCACACGACCACTACTACAAAAAGCGTGGTTTTTGGACGCTTTTGATGTGGCGTCAGCGTATGGTTTTTAATATCGCCTTTTCTCGACGCTTAATCTGGTCGAAGATTGTCTCGACACTTAAAAGCGTCGGAAAAATCACGTGCTACACACGTGAGTTATTGTTTTCGCAATTTTGAAATTTTTAATGAAACACTTAGCGGGTTGAATTTTCGCTCCTCACTCGAATCAGGTTCCCAATTTCCCCCAAATTCCTAATTAAACCTCCCACTATTATGCTCTCCTCTAAACCTGAACTCCATCATCAGCGACAAAAAAAAAATCATTCGTTTTTGGTTAATTTCTGGGTTTTGCTTGCTAAACTTCAAGGAATTGGGGGTTTTTTTGCTCGTCACTTTCATAAATTTCAGGTATCTACTTACAATTTGCTATACAATATTGTTGCTAGGTACATATCTATCATTTTTGTTACCCTAATATCTCACAATTCTTTAAATTTCGTTAAAATTTGGAATTATTCTTTGCATGTCTTCGATTTTGTGTTGGTGTAGAACAAGAATCGATCTCTTATTGCGAGGTAACATTTTGCCCTTAATTAGATAATTTAATTTCTTTTTATGTTGTTTTTTTTTTCGTGAATTCTTTTTTCAAATCCAAGGTTTCCATTTTTTTTTTTATGTAGTTTTTTGGTTTTTGTTATAATTTTTATGGCGTTTTTTAGGGTTTAAGTTTGGAATTTTATGGGTTTTTGATATAAATTTTATATGCTTCGAATTTTCTGGTTTTTTATATCAATTTTATAGGCTTTGAATTTTCTGGTTTTTGAATTTTATGGGTTTTTAATATGAATTTTCTAGGGTAATTTGGTGGCTAATGATTGCATTTTGTCTTCACATGCTCTGCTCTTAGAAACAATACTCATTCCTTTATAAATTATTAAACAACAACCCCAATACTCACGGCCTACTGCTGATGAATCAAGTCTTCTTGTTAAGAATGTATAAGTTTGTTTCTTGGTTAAGATGATATGTATATTGCTGAAGAATTGCGTTGAGTTGATAATGAAGGTTGTGATAATTAGCAGGTGTGAAGATTAATTATAAGTTGAAATACATTTATAGAGTCTAATTTAGAGCTTGATAAATGATAATGCATGAAACTTGTGACACTATTATAAATCGCTCACTACTGCGGCCTCCCCTGGCCTAGCTCTCTTTCATTGCCCATATTTTAGCTCTTATTTTGGATCAAGAAACTGAAATATTATTGACAATTGCTCAGTGACTACAATTGCCTCTTAGAGGTAAAAGTAAGCAATGTATGAAATTTACACAGTTCCTGTTATATTTCTACAAAACTACCTAGTGGCCTGTTATATATCCCTTGAATTCTAGGAGCCATAGCTTCAGTTGGTTAACTTAGTCACGAATAAGATTGTACATTGGTAGTATTGTGATTGTTTTCTTTTCCTATAATTTATTATTATTAACAGTGTTCCTTCAGCATGATAATTAAAAAGAGTATTGTTGCAGGACTTGGATATTTCCGATGTTACGGTTCTAAACAATGTTGACGAAGCTACTCTTCGAAGTTTAAATGGATGCAGGGTTGCAGATCAAATTCTTAAGTTAGTTCCTAACATCAAGGTACACATGAAAACTTGGTTTCTTTAGCCTTGCAATGCTTTATATTCCTTCATTTTTTTAGTTATTAATGATTTTTTGTTGTATTTTAGATTTGTATTTTTAGTATAATATGATTATAGTCCTGGTTCAATAGCAGCTTTTATTTGCAGTTGCTTTGATCCTTGAATGATTATAAATTATAAACTATCTTCCATTTTCAGCATTTCTGCACTGCGCTTCGGTGTCTTAAGTTTTGGGCGAAAAAACGAGGTGTTTACTCAAATGTGAGTTTCTATGCTGTTCCAAGTTGCTATTGTTGATTATATTCCCAATTTACTTTTTTTTTTCTTCTTCTTCCTCTTTTGCTAATTCCATCAATCTGTTGGCTTAGGTGGCTAGATTTCTTGGAGGTGTAAATTGGGCAATTCTAGTTGCTCGAGTTTGTCAGCTGTATCCAAATGTAGTACTAAGTATGCTGGTTTCTCGATTTTTTAGGGTCTTTACCCCAGTGGCGTTGGCCCAACCCTGTGATGCTTTGTGACATTGAAGAGGAAGAGCTTGGATTTCCAGTTTGGGATCCTCGTAAAAATCATCGGGACCGTACTCATCACATGCCTATCATTACGCCTACATACCTTAGCATGAATTCTAGCTACAATGTTTCGCCTAGTACTCTCCGGATAATGATGGAGCAGCTCGAGTTTGGCAACAAGATTTGTTAGGTAAGGTGGTTTGAAGCCTGTTTTTTTCTTCTTTTTTTAAGATAACTCGGAAGACACTAATGTAGTTTTTTTTTACTTGATTATCATAGGATATTGAGCTTAACAAGGCACGCTGGGGCTCTTTGGGTAGAATCCCGATTTAGACAGTTGACTCGGATGGTAAGACATTTTTGTTTTTGTCTGCAATGGACTAGTGGTGGCTTTATTGGTCTTTGCTGGGGCTTAAGCTTTATTTGTGCTTGTCAAGCTGTTTTACATTGCACACAATTGTTATTTGTTATCTTATGAATTCCAGTTGTCTCTTCTGCATTTCGTTGTTGGTTTTTGTCTGAATAGGTCTTGTTTTATCTGTTGTACTTTTAGATAGAACGTGATACTCTTGGGAAACTACAGTGCCATCCCTGTCCACATGACTTGTTTGATCCATCCAGGCAAAGGGCTCATTGTGCATTTTTTATGGGTTTGCAAAGGAAGCAAGGCGAGGTTGTTCAGGAGGCACAACAGTTTGATATTCGCGCAACAGTTGATGAGTTTAGGAATTCAATAAATATGTACTCTTAATGGAAACCAGGAATGGATATATATGTGTTCCATGTCCGTAAAAAACTGCTTACAGCTTTTGTTTTTCCATAGGGATATAAGCGTTCTCGATTATCAAGGTCTCTAGGTGACCAGCGAGTACAAAGTTCGAGTAGTCCAAAAGATGAAGTTTATGGTGGAAGGTCTCATAAAAGAAAGTGTTCTAGTGAAGATGTATTTGGGCAACCGGGGAAGCAGCGGTCACTTAGTCCATGTGGTGCTTCAGTGTCTCCTGATTCAGTGCATCATAATTCTAGGTCTCCACTACCACAGTGTGATGTGACACATGTGGTAGATCGGGGTTCACCGCCAAGGATGGTATCAGGGTATGTCTCAACAAATAAGAATGCGGTGTTGGATCATGATGCTAAATATTTTGGGCTAGCTACATCTGCCAGTACTGTCTCAGTTGCAGAAAAGTCAGATATTCCTTCTACCTTTACCTGCAGTGCAGTCTCTATTCTTACAAGCAAAATGAGGTTTTCAGGGATCTTGATTCGGAACCTAAAGCAAATGTTTTTTTTCTTAACTCTAAGGGTTTAACTCAAAGGTATGTACTCATGAACCTTCTTCATATGCACTTTACATTTGTGTTTATCTATGAAGGGTTTAACTCAAAGGTATGTACTCATGAACCTTCTTCATATGCACTCTAAGGGTTTAACTCAAAGGTATGTACTCATGAACCTTCTTCATATCCATGTTAGCAACTCTATGAAGGTTTGGATTTATTTGGAATTTTGTTCTATGAACATTCCACGGAGGTCTTTAAAGTCAACAC